GTGATCTCCTTGCCTGGCCCAGTGTGTTCAGGCGGGACAGGTTCCCAGGAGACAGACTCTCAGGACCTCAGGGCTGACACTGGTTTTTAAAACTAACTGAGAAAAGAGGGCCTCTTTCAGGGAACAAGGACATGTGTGCACTGAGAAGTCACTACGTCAGTGTGAAAGTGAAGAGGAAAGTGCTCAAGCCTCTTCTCGGGGTTCCTGTTGGGAAGTGATATCAACATGGGTGGGAGTAGATCCCACATCCAGGTGCTGCTGTCCTTTCTTCCTCCGTGGGCCTTCCTCTATCCCGGAGTCTCCCGGGAAAAATGGACCACTGCTGCTCTCAGCCCCCGCCCCACAAGGAGAAGCCACCCAGCCTTCAAAAGGAACATGAGCACACCAGTCAGTGTTCACAGCAGACCAAAGGGTGAAACAACCCAAGTGCCCATCAACAGATGATGGATAAACAAAACGTGGTCCATCCATTAAAAAAAAAAAAAAAAAAAAAAAAACCAAACCAATTGCCATCAAGTTGATTCCGACTCATAGCGCCCCCTATAGGACAGAGTAGAACTGCCCCATAGAGTTTCTAAGGAGCGCCTAGTGGATTTGAACAGCCAACCTTTTGGTTAGCAGCCATAGCACTTAACCACCATACCACCAGGGTTTCTGGTCTATCCATACATTGGAATATTACCCAGCCATAAAGAGAACCGAAGTCCTGATAGATGCTACCACATGGGCCAGCCTTGAAAACATGCTGAGTGAGATAAGTCAGTCACAAAAGGACGAATATTGTATGATCCCACGTATCTGAAATATCTAGAATAGGCAAATGCATAGAGACCACAGTTTGTTTGTGGTTACCAGGGAAGAGGGAAGTGGGGAGGTACAGCTGAAGGAACGCTGAGTTTCTGGGGGATGAAAATGGAAATGGATGGTGGTGATGGTTGCACAACATGGTGAGTGTAATGAACTTCACTGAATCCTACATTTAAAAACGGTGGAAGTGGCAAACTTTTGTTATACATATTTTACAACAATTTAAAAAAATTTTAATTAAAAAAAAAAAGAAGTAGTTCATGCTCATAATAGAAAACTTAGAAACTGCCCAGAAAAAAAAAGATGTGAACAATAGTCACCCCTGATGCCATGGTCCAGTGGAAACCGCCGCTGACAGCACGGGCCTTTCTACTCAGTCAAGGCTCTGTCTCGGAAGCAGCAGGTTGAACAGTGTCCCCTAAGAATTCATGTCCACCTGGAATCTACGACCGTGGCCTCAATAGCAGATGGGGTCTTTGCAGATATAATTAGTTAAGGTAAGATCATACTAGAATAGGTGATGGTGGTGGTGTGTTCCATTGAGTCGATTCCGACTCACAGTGACCCCATGTGACAGGGTAGAACTGCCCCATAGGGTTTCCTAGGCTGTAATCTTTACAGGAGCCGGTCACCAGGTCTTTTCTCCTGCAGAGCAGCTGGATTCGAACCACTGACCTTTCAGTTAGCAGCCAAGCACTTAACCATTGTGCCACCAGGGCTCCTCAAAAGTGGCTACATTTGTTGAAATTTACTTAATAAACTTTTTATTTTTCCTTAAAAAAAGAAAAAAAAGAGCGGCTACATTTTTCCCAAATGATAAGAAATATTTCTGGGGTCCAAATCAAACTTAAAAATATCTCCTTCCTCCTGGAAACCATCCGTCCGCAGAAATCACAGTCCCTTGCCCACTCTGGGCGTAAGGCCACCTCTAACAACCATGCCTCCCCCCCATCGCTGCTCCCAACCTGCCTGAGACACAAAAAGCCCTGTGGCCTTTACATACTGACATTAAAGCTTGTTGTCTTATGTTTGGACAAAGCATTGTGTGATGGGAGCTGGTGAGAAGTTACACGTTTTCAGGAAAGGACGTGTATCAGGGCGTTAGGATTGTTTTGTCTGTGGTAGCTGCCAGAACAGTGAATAGCCCAAAAGTCAGGCTGCAAATTGCTAAAACCATAGGAAGCTCTGTGATTGGGGGAAAAAAATGTACATTTCTGCCAAAATAAACCACCTTAATCATATAGGTTCTCCTTTGATTTTAGATGTTATTTGTGGACTAAATAGGTCTACTTATTGTTTATCTCACCAAAACACAATGAGGTTTGTCATTCGCCTTGGTAGACAGACTAGTGCTGCTGATTTTTCTAGGCTGTTTTATGCTGATATCTGACGTGAAGCTCATGGTATAAGATAAGATGATTCAGTTCACTGTGGAGTAGGACCGTTCTCTGCTGGAGAGTAAACATTTTTATGCTATGAAAATAAAAATGTCATATTAATTAGGATTCTGTCCAAGCAAGCAATGGGAAAAAAGAAACCCAAACCGACTTAGGTAAAAGGGCACATACTGGCGTATGTGATTGCTCCAGCAGAGCACCAGGTGAATGTGACCCAGACCTCCAGTGATGGGCCTGAGCCAGGTGCTGTCTCTTTCTTGGCAAGCTCGTTCCTGAGGTCGTATGATAGCTACCAGTTGCACCAAGGCTGCTTCCATTCATCCGTATATATTGAGTGCCTATTGTGTACCAGGGGGACACAGTCTAGATTGTCCCTGGGCTATATTCTGGGTGGTGCTACAAAGGCTTAACACACTTGGTTGCTAACCGAAAGGTTGGAGGTTCGAGTTCACCCAGAGGTGCCTTAGAAGAAAGGCCTGGCAATCTACTTCCCCAAAACCAGCCATTGAAAACACTGTGGAGCACAGTTCTATTCTGATACACATGGTGTCACAATGAGTGGGGTCAACTTGATGGCAACAGGTTAGAGAGGGCCACATAGGTGACTTCACAAAACCAAGATTCCCTCCTCCTGGGCGGCTTTCTTCTCGGCCAGACAGAAGCTGCTGGCAGCTGCCCCAGCCAGAGTCCGGCCCAGCCAGGCACCCTGAGACCCATTCATTTCAGGCACCCAGGGCCTTCTGGAAACTCTTCTGGACCTAATTCTCACAACGGGCAGTGGGCCTTCTTCTGTCTCCTAAGCATGCGCAATGTGGAGGCGGGTGAGCAACATCCTGGGCCTGGTCCACTTACTCCTTCCCCTGCTCACAAGACAGGCCACCCACCCCCAAGCCCTAGGCTTGGCCTGAGCTAATGTTATCATGCTGGGGAGAGTGGTGGGCAGGCGGGAGATTTTCCAGGAAAGAAGAAGAAGCCAGCTAATTGCTGCAATTGCATTAAAAAGTAATTAACCATTAACACAATGCAAAAAAACCCCTCAAATTCATTGCCATTGAGTTGATTCTGACTCTTGGCAACTCACGGCGACCCCATATGTTGCAGAGTAGAACTGTACTCCATAGGGGTTTCAATGGCTGTGATCTTTACAGAAGTAGATTGCCAGGCCTTTCTTTTGTGGCACTGCTGGGTGGATTCTAACTACCAACCTTGCGGTTAGCAGCCAAGTGCAAACGATCTGCACCACTCGGAGATCTTCTAGGACAATATGACCAGCCTTTAAGAATTTTCAGGCTAGAATCCTTAGCACAATTCAACCTCCAGAATTCTGTATGTTTTCAAATTATAAATGTATAAATGAAAAACCTACACTTTGCAGTTTACCGGGATTTGTCGATAGCCTGGGGGAAATTTTTCAGCTTGAGATTGGGACATAAAGTCTGTTTGAAATCTAGAAAAGCAAGTGAATGTCAAGGACTAGACGTTGGCCTTTCAGCGGCATCAGAAATGGAGGCGTGCAGTGTCTTGCTAAGAGACCGCCACCAGGCTCTCGGTGCTGCATTGGGGACAAGCGCAGACAGCTCCCTGCAGAGACGCCCGCTGGCGGTGGTCTGTATCCAGACTCAGAGGGTCCCAGCCACTCCCAGCATTCTCAACAGAAGGGCAACACCTCAGGGGATTTCCCCAGAGTGCTTTGGAACCCCTGGACAGGTCTCAAGTTCTGGGTCCAACCTGTTTATGATTTTAAGACAAACAGAACATAGCAAGTATTGCTCATGGCAATAAATACCCACCCTGCAACTCCTTTAGAGCCAGGAGCTGCTGTCACACTCTGCCTCTAATGACTGTAGGAGATAAAGACCACCCTCTTCTCTGAGAGTAGCCCCCTGGCCCCTGGTCAGCCCCAGCTGCTCTGTTTCTACCAAGTGATCTTATGCTTCCTTTGTAAGACCTAAAACTTCAAGTGCTGTGTTGACATCTTTGAGCCTCACAGGATTCCAGAAAGGCCTAACCGGGAGTTCCCCTGATCTTGCCAGATATGCCCCCACCCAGTGGGAAAGGCGCCCCACTGGGCCAATTCCCTTATCAGCTGGGCCAGTTGCATACACTCAGTCCTCAACCTCTCTGTCAGCTCAGGAAACTCTTCAAACAAGCCAGTTACATCTCCCATGGGAACCAGGGGTACCCCACCCTCTTGTGACTACAAAGCCTGCCTCCCATGGCCCATGCTGGTTCACTCTGCCCACGTGTGGTCCTGTGTGGTGCGGTATCCTCCTCCTCCAGGCTGTGAGCACAGGTGACTAAGTGCTGTCGCTCTCATCTGTCCAGTGTCAGATGGCATGTGTTTAATCATCTTGTACTATTTAGGGTAGGGATCCATCCTTCACCACTGGGGTGAATAGGAGGGGATCAGAACATTGCTCCAAACCAAGTAAATTGAACCAGGTGACCCAGTCTGGGCCTGTGAGTTCCCCTATCTCTCAGGAATTTGGAATTTGAATGAAAGGTGTTAGTCTCTGTGTGTTGCCTGGGTGGCCATGAGCATGGGGAAACAGAAGCACCATCTGGAGAGAGGAAGAAGAAACTGGCATGCAAGGAGGAGCAGATGGGAAGACCACGTGGCCCCACCTAGAGAGGGATGATGTGATGTGCTTGGTAAGTGGTGGCTTGTTGGCCCTGAGTCCGTGGAACTCCTGCCTTGGGTTCCATGAGATTTCCCTGGGGTTTCAAAGCTTCTTTGAAGTGGTTTCTTTTATTTGAAATGAAAAGTATGTTGACTACAATGATCTTTTTCTCTCTTTTTAATTTCGGAAGTTACATATGATAAGATCATGAAACTTGAGAACTAACATCTCCACTTTTTAAAAGTGAGTTCTACACATTAACATGGAGATGCTGACTTTAGGAACTTGTGCCCTCTTCAGTGGTCTGGAAGGACGCACGGATCTTACGATTCATCAGAGGCTGAGGTGGGCGATAGTTGTTCACCATTGTCTTCTCTTCTTCACCAAGTGCAGAAAACAGTAGTGTCCGAAACGCTGACAGCTGGAGGCAAGAGCACCCAGAGTAAGCCAGGTGCAGGTACAGAGTGCACCAGCTCTCCAGTTCCAATGTGGAGTCCCCCCGACAGGGAATCAGGGATGGCCCTGTGTGACCCGTAGAATGTGGCAGAAGTGACAGTGTGTGACTCCTGAGATCAGGTCATAAAAGGCATCGCAACTTCCACTTTGGTCTTTGGATCACTTGCTCTGGGAGAAGCCAGTCACCATGTTGTGAGGGGACTGAAGCAGCTCCATGGAAGGTCTATGTGGAGAGAAACTGAGGCCCTCAGCCAACAGCCAGTACCAACTTGCCAGCCATTTGAGGAAGTCACTTTGGAAATGACTCCTCCAGCCCCAGCCAAGCTTTCAGATAACTGTAGCCCCAGCTTCATGAGAGATCCCAAGCTAGAACCACCCAACATCCAGACCCACAGAAACTCTGAGAGATAACAAATGATTACTGTTGTTTTAAGCCACTAAATTTTGAAGCTATTTGTTACACAGCAATAAATAACTAATGCATATAATATAAATGCTAAACTAATACATACAATGTAAATGGAAAGTAACATTTGGATTCACTTTTCACTCAGAACTAAAAGATCATTTTTCTTAATGTATCATCTCACTTGTTCTCAACATATATTAATGAGCTATGTGAGGATAAATCATATATTTAATTAAATACAGAACTGGGATTATATCTACAAAATGGCCATTTACTGAGCAAATTATAGCTACATGGTTGATAAAGCAGCCCCTGGAGTCCCTGAGTGGTACAAATGGTAAACATGTTCGGCTGCTAACTGAAAGGTTGGAAGTTGGAGTCCACCAAGAGGCGCCTTGGGAGAAAGGCCTGGAGATGTACATCTGAAAAATCAGCCATTGGAAACCTTATGAAGCACAGTTCTACTCTGACATACACGGGGTCACCGTGAGTTGGAATTGACTCATAGCAGCTGCCATATACCGGCATGGTAGAATTGGGTATCACACCGTGCATACACTCACCAGGCACTAGTACAGTGTTCTCACTCATGCTGTCTTGCTTTGCACATGTTGTTGGCTCTCTCAGAAATGCTAGCTTTCTCCTCTTCTCCACCTGGCAAACTCCTTCCCACCTTCCAGGTGGTTTATATACTAACTCCTCAGTTCCCATAGCGACAGTAAGGGACTTCGGCTCTGCACCGGTGTATAATGAGCTCCACCCTGTCTTCTAACTATTGGCTTATGTTTCTATTTTCCACTGGACTGCTGTGTGCAGACTACTGTCATTGTTTCTATACCCCCTCTTCATTCCCATCCTCTCTTGGCACAGTACCTGGCACACAATGGGTGCCTATTGCATGCTTGTTGGATGACATAAGGGGTCTTGGTGACAAGGGGCCATTTTTCAACCAAGGCCTACCTCGTGTCTTCAACAGTTCAGGCTTACACAATGGATCAATAACCTTTACCCCAAGGTCGGCCTTTCAAAGCAGATGGCATCATCCCATGGCTTTTAAGTAAGAATATTTTCATACAGTCGTGAGACTGGAAGAACCTCTGAGAGCTCATCCATAGCCCTCGGAAAGAGTGTATCTGAACCAAGGGTGATGAATTGTGCTGTGATTGATTAGAAATGTCTGCCTTGGCAAGGGCTTTTAAAGTGGCATTGTGCTTGTTGATATGTCATCTCTAAACTCTAAACTGTCCTAGACAAACAGACTTCCTCCAGGTTCTAAACATTTCCAGAGAAAAAGATACTATGACTTTTAAAATATATATATATAAGTATTATCTACTCAATTTAGAGGTATTAGAATATTTAGAAAAAGGGGAAAAATAAAAACCTTTGCAGACTATGACCCTGGACAACTACTATTAACTTTCTGGTGTGTATCTATGTGATAGATTGGGGTATGATCAGTGAATGTCACTCACTTCTCCTCTCCTTTGGGGTGAACTGTACTCCCCTGCCCCACTGACTTTGGACCCGCTGTTGCAACTTGCTTTGGCCAGCGGGATGTGAGTGAAATGCAACCAGAGACATTAAATGTGCTTGTGCAGAGTGGCTTGTCTTTTGCATTTCTGCCATTTGCCATGAGAACCTACCCTGGTAACCACTGGTTAAAGACGCTAGAGTCAACACACCACCTGACCAAAACCTTTTGTAACCCCAGTCATCCGTAGCCTAGAACAGACCTCCCTAGCCAACCCACAGACCCATGAGCAGGAAAAAGCAATGCTGATGATAAGCATTGTGTTTGGGGTGTTTTGTTAGGCAGCATTATGGTAGCAATAGCTGACTGATACAATCCATCTGGACTTTTCTCTAGACATATATAACCCTGTGATTTAAAATAGCATGGGAGAACATCCTCTGCAGTCTAAATTCCTTACTCTTCTATCATAAAAAGATGTGGAACACACAACTTGAAGAATGTAATCAATGTCACTGAATTTGTACCTGTAGAAACTGTTGAATTGATGTATATTTTGCTGTGTATATTCTCAACAACAAAATAAATCTAAAAAATTATAAGAAAAAGAAAGATGTGGAACAAACTCTAAAATGTTCTCTTCCTTCTCAACAGTCCTACTTCTTTAACAGTTTTTCAGCATTCATCTGCCACATCCCTTCCTTGGTTAATGTATTCATCTGCAAATACCTACTGAGTTCCCATTATGGGCAGGGGCCCATATTCCAATTCTCATGTCATGTCTGTTCTTTTAAAGCAACTTTACCCAGCCTATGAGCAGCCATCTAAGATACTCCACTGGTCTCACCCCTTCGGGAGCAAGGGAGAATGAAGAAAACAAGATACAAGAGAAAGATTAGTCCAAAGGACTAATGGAACACAACTACCATGGCCTCCACCAGACTGAGTCCAGTACAACTAGATCGTGCCCAGCTACCACCACTGACTGCTCTGACAGGGATCACAACAGAGGGTCCCGGCCAGAGCTATAGAAAAATGTAGAACAAAATTCTAAGTCAGAAAAAGACCAGACTTACTGGCCTGACAGAGACTGGAGAAACCCCAAGAGTATGGTCCCCGGACACCCTTTTAGCTCGGTAATGAAGTCATTCCCGAGGTTCACTGTTCAGCCAAAGATTAGACAGCCCCATAAAACAAAATGAGACTAATGGGGCACAACAGACCAGGGACAAGGACTAGAAGGCAGGAGGGGACAGGAAAGCTGGTAATAGGGAACCCAAGGTCGAGAAGGGACAGTGTTGACATGTTGTGGTGGTGTTAACCATTGTCATAAAACAATATGTGTACTAACTGTTTAATGAGAAAGTATTTGTTCTGTAAACCTTCATCTAAAGTACAAAAAAAAAAGAGACCCAAGGAAAAATAAATAAAGTAACTTTACCCAGACTTAGACTGAAGACTGAACACAACCTAGTTCAACCGTTTGCTGTTAAGCATACTTGCCTGAATACTAAACCACTAAAGATAAGATAGTGCTAAAGGACAACCATCCCCTCATATCACTTGTATCAATCGTCTCTTCCTTTCTCTCTCTTTCTGTCTGTGTCTGTGTTTCTGTCTGTCTCTGTGTCTGTCTAATACTAATACCTTAATATCAGAAGAAAAGCTGTCATATGGGAACACCAGTTCAATCTCAACAAGCTCCTAGTTCAGTTGGAGGGTCCTCCTGTGAGAATGTCCAGAATGTACCCAAGAGTGAAATTCCGTGACTCTCATTCACAGCATCTTGGTGGAACTGCCACACTGAGGGATTTCTTCCCTGAGTCCACTGGCACCGTTACAGGCGCAGCTCACCTGGTCTGGAGCCACCTCAATGGGCTGCTTCTGGATGACCCAGGTGACGGACTCGGTCAGTGGAGGAGTAGTCAGGGAGCCTGAGTAGGTCCAGTAATCTCGACAGGAGGGCAGCAGGCCAGCAGGCTCAAAGGGGGTCAAGGTCGCCCGTGCGTCCTGAGGGCCAGAACCACGGAACACGTCAGACCTCAGGCAGAGTTGGAGGAGGCAGGGGTGGGGGGACTTTCCACTGATCTCTGTCGGGGTGTGTGGTCTTCACATCACTGGGAAGGAAGTGCGTTCCCGAGATAGAGGCCGTGCTGAGACTGCGGCCATCACGTTTTAAAGCACTATCAAGTACATGTGCCTTTTCCACACAGAGCAGGGACTCCCACCAAAAGGCTTGGATTTTCCCTTTTAAAGTTAATCATTTTTTGGTGCAGCTGCTGTGGAAGACAGTCTGGCAGTTCCTTAAAAATTAGACATAGAATGACCATATGAAACTTTCATCTAAATTACAATAAAAGAAAACAAAATGACCATATGACCCAGCAATTCCACTTCTAGGTCTATACCCCAAAGAATTGAAAACAAGGACTCAGACAGAGACTCGTACACCAGTGTTCATTGCAGCATTATTTACAATAGCCAAAAGGTAGAAACAACCCAAGTATCTATCAACTGATGAATGGATAAACGGAATGTGCTATATACACACAATGGAGTGTTACTCACCCATAGAGAGAAATGAAGTCCTGATACATGCTATGACATGGACGAAACTTGAAGACGTTATGCTCAGTGAAATAAGACAAAAGGGCATATTGTATGATCTGATATGAAATATGCAGAGTAGGCAAAGGCATAGGGACCAAAGTAGATGAGTGACTACCTGGCTCTGGGGGGTTGTTGTTGGGTGCTGTCAAGTCACTTTCCACTCATAGTGATCCCATGTGACAGACTAGAACTGCCCCGTAGGATTTTCTTGGCTGTAATCTTTATGGAAGGAGCCCTGGTGGCACAGTGGTTAAGTGCTCAGCTGCTAACCAAAAGGTTGGCAGTTCCAACCCACCAGCCATTCCACGGGAGAAAAGACATGGCAGTCTGCTTCCGTAAAGATTACAGCCTTGGAAACCCTATAGGGCAGTTCAGCTCTATCCTATAGGATCACTATGAGTCAGAATCGACTTGATGACAATGGGTTTGATTTGGTTTTGAATCTTTATGGATGCAGATTGCCAGGTCCTTCTCCTGTGGAGCCACTGGGTGGGCTGGAAGCACTAACCTTTTGGTTAGCAGCTGAGCATTGGGGAGGGGGCGGGAAATGAGGAGTATAGCCTGGCAGTGAAAATATTACACATCTGTGATGGCTGATCTTCTCTACAAAGGGGCCTCCGTGAATTAGTCGTTAGGTGCTGTTGGGTCAGTTCCAACTCATAGCAACCATGTGTACAACAGAACGAAACACCGCCTGGTCCTGCACCAGGAGTTAGTAGCCGTGGTAATTCACACCTGCTCAGGAGACACTCTCTGCTGAGCCAACGCCCCGACTCTGATGCCACACTTTTCCTTCTCGTGGGGAGTAGGCAGGGTTGAGGCACCTGGAGTACTGCTCTCACACAATGAAAGCCAGGCTCCCTGCGCTCCTCCCCGCTAGGGCTGTCTGGGGAGGACATCTACATAGTTTCAGAAATGTCCACACGAGCTCTGTGTCCGCTCTCTAAGATGCATCAGGATTCGGGCCACCGAGGGGCTACAGAGGACACTGCCTCATGTGCCCCCAAAGCCAGTTGAGTCCCTTCCTCTGTGCCTCTGGCCAGCTCGGCTGGCTGGAACACTGTCCTAGTGAGCATGTGGGCAGGTTAGGTCAGCCACATCCGTGACCAGAGCCTGCATGGACCAGCTACCTGGGAAGGTGCCCACTCTGGTGTCTTTTTTGGTGAAGGTGATGTCCGCAGTGTTTCACTCTTCTACTTAGGCACATCCCATATCAGAAAGACAGAAAGTGGTTTCCGAAGCGATATGCAACCCAGCGAGAGAATAAGGATAAGGAGAGAAGGCAAAACAATAGGAGTGGAAAACGGATCAGTGGCTACTCAGGGTTGGTGGGGAAAGAGTTGATTCAAAAGCGCCCTGTGATGGAATGTCCTGAGTGATGGAATGTTCTGGATGGGACTGCAGGGCTGCATGCATCTTAGTCCTCATAGAAGCACTCCAGTATGTGTGCCTGTATGATTTCCGTTTGCAGAAGAGGAAACTGGAGATCAGAGAGGTTAAGCCACTAGTGCCAGGGAGTCTAACTCGGGCTGCCTTACAGGCCAAACTGCAGTATCTCCCATGGGCTGCAGAAACTTCTGGAAACCCAAGATCCCAGATTAGGAACTACTGGACTTGAGGGTCATGCAAGTCCCTTCCCACTCTGGGAACTATGAAGCCCAGACTTTTGCTCTCCAAGGCTGGGCCATCTCACAATTCCTCTGATCTCTTGAGAGTCTGATTCCCTTATTTTTGGGTAAGGAAACTGAGGCCTTGGGGTCCATATTAGGTCTAGAACCCACACTTCTGTCTCCATTAAGCCGTTCCTCAGTAGCCACCACTGAGATTCCCAGTGGTTTGCCCCAGAAAACCCTGAGTTAGCCATGGGAAAGAGTGTCCTGCAGACTTTCAGGGGAGGAAATGAGACCCCTGGAGCAACCAGAACCTCCCAGCCAGCCCCTTTCCCACCAGGTGGAGACCAGACACCGCAGGCAGCAGGCACTGGCTGGAAAAACACCCAGGTTTACTCTGGCTGGGGGCCAGTGAGGAAGAGGATGGGGTGGGGGCTGCAGCACCTTGGCCTTGAGGAATTCCTGAGCAGCAAGGCCGAGCAGAGGGTGGTCTGGTCCCCATCCGTGAGGCCAACATCAAGGGAGGTGCCCTGCACAGATCAAACGCCACCTGTGAGGGTGAGGAAGGGCTGGTCCAGCTTCCATCCTCACTCCCATCTGAGCCACTTGCACCATTGTTCACACGGGCTGGAGGCTCACCCACCCCATGTCTGAAGACCACATTGGCTCCTTCCTTTTGGCTCTGTCTATATTTTGCTTCTTGTTTGGTGCTGAGTAAATAAACCACCTTTCTTTGGAATTTCCCAGTCTTCATCAAAGTCCTTTTCCCACTGATCTTGGAGGAAAGCTGCATGTTCTTCCTTGTCCTCCATTGGAGCCATACTTGGTGCAGCCAGGTGTGTAAGAAGGTCTGGGGAGACTTGGAGGTTCAGCTGGGAGCTGCTAGCAGGCATCTTCCCTCTTCCCCTGGGCCTCCGTGTTCTCCTCAGATGAGGGTGACCTGAGTTCCCTCTCAACTCCCAAGGAGTGTGTTGGGTGTTGCCCAGGGGGACATCTTTAAAGATGAATAGTTAAGTATTTATTTCAATTGGTTCTAAAACAAAATATTACTTGCCAGCTGCCATCAAGTCGGCTCCAACTCATGGTGACCCCATGCACAACAGAGGAAACTTTGCCCAGTCCTATGCCTTATTCATGATCGTTGGCATGCTCTAGTCCATTGTTGTGGCCACTGTGTACTTTGAGTGCCTTCCAACCTAGCGGACTCATCTTCCAGCACTATACCGACAATATTCTGTTGTGGTCCATTGAGTTTTCGTTTTAGGTCACTGGGCCTTTCTTTCTAGCCTGTCTTTGGAAGCTCTGCTGAGACCTGTCCACCATGGGTGACCCTGCTGGTATTTGAAACACTGCTGGCATACCTTCCAGCATTACAGCAATACGTAAGCCACCATAGTATGACAGACTGACAGACAGAGGGCAGAAATATCATTGGATGTCATTGCCTGGGACGAGGCTAATGAATTCTAAAAGCTAATCAATCAAGAGGAAACTATTAAGTAAATAATACCAGTGGCAGGCAGATATGTCAAACATCTTCAAGATACTGCTGAATGACTGAATTTTGGGAAACCCATGTCTAGTCTAACACTCTTATTTTATTGAGGAGCAAACAGGGCCCCAAGAATTACAGTAACACATTCCGAGTGAGAGAACCAGCTAATGACAATGGGAATTAGACCTACCCGGCTTGATTTCTGGAGTCCGCTCAGCTGCTAGCCAAAAGGTTGGAGGTTCAAGTCTACCCAAACATGCCTCAGAAGAAAGACCTGGCGATCTACTTCCGAAAAATCAGCCACTGAAAACCCTGTGGATCACAGTTCTGCCGTGACACACATGGGGTTGCCATGAGTCAGAGTCAACTCAACAGCAACTGGTTTTGGGGGGTTCTATCTCCAGAACTGGAATTAGGCTCCCTCTGCAGTGTTCTTTCCACAAACCTATGGTTTTTTCCTCTTGTAAATAAGTCATTAACCCAAACAAGCTTGCTTTTCACATCATGTTGATTTAAAAATACATAGCTTACCTTATGCTTTATTTCCGGCAAGACATCCACCAACTTCTGTAGCTCCTTATGCCACGCGCCCAGCTGCACAGCACAGACACACGGAGATGTGGATTTGGAAAGCACGCTTCATTGTAAATAGACTGCTTAGGAAACAATTCTGAATTATCACACCCACTTTCTTCATGAGGAGCACTGTGCCCCAGCAAGCAATTACCTTCAAAAACACGCCTATCACAGCCAAACCGTTTTCTCCCAGGATGGCGTCATTGTAGGTTTGGTATCTCACAGAATTCCAGTGAACTAAGTGGAGCTGAAACACAGCAGGAAAAGAATTTAATTTTACCGAGATGCAGCCAAAAATAAAACCAACTATTCCTTCCCTTTCTGTACGGCAGACATAGGACATATGTGTCACTGTAATTATTTTAATAAATTCAGTCATTGTGGCCTGATGTGCAGAGCCCTGGCAAAACTTCAGGAACAGAAAGTTCTTTGCACAACTTCCAGCACGCACCAGGAGCTCAATAGCTGCTAGCTTGTTGGGTAATAGCGGAAAGCAATGGCCTCTGTGCTCCTGATGGGGGGAAGAGGAGAGGATTGTTTTAACTTCATGAGAGAGAAATGAGGCGATTTGATCACTTGCGCCCTCTGAGGGATCCCTGAAGGAGGGTTGTCAGATAAAATACAGGACACTCATTTAAATTTGAATTTTCAATAAACAACTAATAGTTTTCAGTATAAGTATGTCCCAAATATTGCCTGTGTTTTTATTTGGTAACTTTAGTGACCCTACCTTGAACTTCATCTGTGTCTTTATTTTCCACTCCTCTCTGCTTCCTATTGTAGGTCTGGGGTTGTGGTCTTTAGCCCAAACTCAGCAAGCTTGGCTGGCTGGTCACCCTACAGTAGAGCCTGGCACAGAGAAAACTCCTGAATATTTGCTAGTACGATGATGTTTACGAACCTCAGCCGGGTACACGCGGTTGTCCACTGTGTGCTCCGAGCCCCACTCATCCACTGCTCCCCAGTGGAAGTGAAACTGTTTTAGACGGTAGAGGTTTTCCAAGGGCCCGCCACTGATGCCTGGAAATTGAAACCAGGGGAAGTTGGGTGCGCTTCTGAGTGTTCCTCAGGCTGTGATGTTGCTGGTGACACACTCTTCGTTCGGGTTACACAATTTCATTCTCAAGAGATATACGTACTGCTGAAATGACAAACTAAAGTGTAGGTGCTGCAAAGGGTGGGATATTGTCTGTCTCATTCACGTCTGTATCCCCATCACCTAAAAGCAGCCTACAGTAGGGTCACAGGAAACGCTTGAAGGAGTGCAGGTCTAGAGCGCTGCCAGTAGGGGACCATGATGGCCTCACTCCCGGAATGTAGCAAGAAAGGCTAGCTGCATCCAAAAAACCAAAACCAAACCTATTGCCGTCGAGTGGATTCTGACTTATAGTGACTCTATAGGACAGAGTAGAAACTTCCCTATATATAGGGTTTCCAAGGTTGTAATCTTTATGGAAAACAGATCAATAAATCTTTTCTCCCATGGAGCAGCTAGTGGGTTCCAACCACTGACCTTTCAATTAGCAGCTGAGTGCTTAACCACTGCACCACCAGGGCTCCTGCCTAGCTGTATACTGGTCTTATAAGATGAAGAAAGCAAAAGGTCATTAAAAAGACAGGAAAGAAAGAAAAGACCAAAATGAATTTTCCGAAACTTGCTCTTGAGCACAGAATAGCTAAAGTGAATCAAAGAAATGATAACGTAAAAGAGCTGAACAGAGGATTGCAGAGGGCGGCTTGAGAAGACAAAGTAAAATATTATAATGAAATGTGCAAAGACTTGGAGTTAGAAAACCGAAAGGGAAGAACACACTCTGCATTTCTCAAGTTGAAAGAACCAAAGAAGAATTTAAGCCTCTAGTTGTAATATCGAAGAATTCTATGGGCAAAAAAACTGAATGACACTGGAAGCATAAAAAGAAAACGGAAGGAATACACAGAGTCACTGTACCAAAAAGACTTGGTCGACATTCAACCTTTTCAGGAGGTAGACTATGATCAAGAACTGATGGTACTGCAGGAAGAAGTCCAAGCTGCACTGAAGGCACTGGTGAAAAAAAGCCCCCAGGAATTGACAGAATACCAACTGAGATGCTTCAACAAATGGATGCAATGCTAAAAGCACTAACTCGTCTATGTCAAGAACTTTGGAAGACAGCTACCTGGCTTACTGACTGGAAGAGATCCACATTTGTACACATTCCAAAGAAAAGTGATCCTACAGAATGCAGAAATTATTGAACCATATCATTAATATCACACATACGCAAAATTTTGCTGAAGATAATTCAGAAATGCTTGTAGCAGGACATTGATAGGGAACTTCCAGAAATTCAAGCCAGATTCAGAAGAGGATGTGGAACAAGGGATATCATTGCTGATATCAGGTAAATCTTGGCTGAAAGCAGAGAATACCAGAAAGATGTTTACCTGTGTTTTATTGACTAGCAAAGGCATTCAACTGTGGACTGTGGATCATAACAAATTATGGATAACATTCTGAAGAATGGGAATTCCAGACCACTTAATTGTGCTCATGAGGAACCTGTACATAGACCAAGAGGCAGTTGTTCAAACAGAACAAGGGGATGCTGCATGGTTTAAAATCAGGAAAGGTGTGCATCAGGGTTGCATCCTTTCACCATCCTTATTCAGTCTGTATGCTGAGCAAATAATCCGAGAAGTTGGACTATATGAAGAAGAACGTGGCTTCAGGATTAGAGGAAGACTCATCAACAATGGTTATCAAAGTACAAGATATGACCTAAGGACATTATGGAACCACAAATGCAGGCAGTGGTTATCTTTGTGTTTGGTTCTGCCTGGTACCTTATGTTTGTGCAGAAAGGGAGTTGTATTGACCAGCTTCAGGGCCTTTGTGGCACCAAAATGCAGTGATTAGTGATGAAGGGTGAACCTGAGGGGGACTGTCCCCTGTTGTCTACCGACTTTCCTCCAGCAAATGACCTGGGCGCAAACCTAGCCTCACAATATACTCCCTCCTGCGCAGGTCAGCTGCGTGGTATCCGTGCATGTCTGCATCACCTTTTCCAGAATGGAAGTGCTGAGAAGGCAGACATGGTGGATGTTTCATGTAGCCATGGACAAGTTGGGTAGGACACACAACCAGGAGAGAGAATATAAAAGGTTGTGAGTCGGGCGCCATCTGGCTGCACGCCAGGAGAGGGGCCAGTTCTGTCTCATTCATCACCATGCCCTCAACACCTAGCACAGGGCAGGGGCCACAGTATGCACCCAGTAGATCCTTGCTGGATGAATGAATGGATGGACGGATGGGATGATTCAGTTCATTTATTGGCTCATTCACTCATTCAGCTGGTGAGCAGGTCAGTGTTTTACAGTGGGATTCAGTGTTTCCAGTGGTAGCCTGGGGACAGCCTGAGATTTCTAGGAATTTCCACAGAATACTAGAAGTATCTGAAGACCTGGATTTGCCACTTAGCTCTGTCTCTAACTAACTTGCTGTATGACCTCCAGGAAGTTGCTCGATCTCTGTGAGCCTAAGCTGCTTCACTTGTCAAATGCAGAGTGTTGGCAGGATGAAATGAGATAATGGCAGGGAAAGGGCTTTGTAAGGTTTTGTTCATCAGTCCCTTCATTTGTGGTCCCTACCAGCTCAAGCAACCTGTGATTGTATGTAGGCACATAAAAAAAAAAAAAAAAAAAAAAAAAAAAACAGTTGCCATGGAGTCACTTCCAACTCATGGTGACCCCATGTGTGTCGGAGTAGAACTGTGCTCCATAGGGTTTTCAGGACTGTGACCTTTCAGAAGCAGATCACCAGGCTTTTCTTCCAAGGCACCTCAGGGTGGACTTGAACCACCACCTTTTCTGTTAGCAGCCTAGCATGTGAACTGTTTGCACCCACTCCCCCCCCAACCCGGGACTCTAGCATATAGATAGCGTCTCTAAAAAGAATGAGACCAACTGCACAAGGCATAAATCCACCACTAGCTGGATGTCTGCCAGACCCTTGCCATTAACTTCTGGAAAAATCCCTTCCCAGACTTGCTACCCAACAGAGAGCCAAGAATTGGAGGGATGCTGGGACCAGGAGGACTTGTGAGCTTCACGCATTGTTCCTTTCCATGGCAGATGGAGAGCTGATGTCCATCTGGAGAGGGTAGAGGACTCCCGACTCCCCCAAGGTCACACTCCAAGCAGCGCTGAGCAGGCCTGGAGCCTGCAGACCACAGTGCCATGCTTCCTGACATCCAACTGCCCCTGACTTCTTCCTCAAAGTAGCTTCTATGCCAGCAGGACTCTCTGCCTATCTGCTTCAGTAAGAAAGTATCAGTGAAACCAGTCGTTTTGAATCTGGGGCACCTGTCCATTGTAGCAATGTTCCTTTTCAAGGGGATCACCCATGACACAAATTTTCTTTCCATGCTGGCGCAGGCTGGCATCTGGCCATTTGTATGTTGAACAAGGGACTTGCTCAAAATGGCACCTACCTTGGGCTGGGGACCAAATAGATTCACAAAACTCCCCTAAAATGGTTGCTTTCTTGCAAGTGGCCATCCAAGATACAGAAATTGGTCTCCATTCACCTGGAGCAACGGAGGAAGAAGGAAACCCAAGAATCAGAGAAGCAGCTGGACTACAGGACTAATTGTCTCCATGAACCACAGCTTCCTCTGCCTTGAGACCAGAAGAACTGGTTGGTGCCTGGCTACCATTACCAAATGTTTTGACTGGGGACACAATAGATGGATGTTGATAGAAAGGGACTAAAAATGTGGAACAGAACTTCAAATTCCCAAAGAATCGAGACTTACTGGACATATTAACGCTGAGGACCGCCCAAGACTATTGCCCTGGAACAGTCTTCAAACCTTGAAAGGAAACTATCCCCTGAAGTCATCTTTAAACAAAAAACAATTTTGCTCAAAAAGTAAAGAATGTCACCCTTAAGTATTAACTTTAAAACAAAAATATGAGACCAAAGGGATAATATTAACTCTAAAGATTAGATGGGGGCAGTGAGACTCAATTAATGGGGGTGAAACAACTAGAACAGAAACAACAAGAATGTGGACACAATGTGAAGAATGTAACCAATGTCACCGAACAATATGTGTAGAAATTGTTAAATGGGAGCATGTTTTGATGTGTATATTTCCACCACAAAAGAAAAAAAAAAGTTGCTTTTGTCTCAACTAGCTTTGCAAGATGCAAACAAAAATAAGTGGGCATGGCAAGCTTTAGCTTTTCTAGGGCATAAGCGAATAGGAAGCTCTGTGTCTAGCTGGGTTTTCTGGAACAAGAAAGTGCTCAAGGATGGTTGGGCTAGAGCAGCCCCCAGCGGTGAGTCAGTAGACAGGCACCTGGAATCTGGGATGTTGGCCACCACAGGTCTTTCATCCTTTAAAGCTCACTCATGAATTTCAGGAAGAGAGAAGAAAGAACTCATTAAAAAGCACAGCCTTTTAACTCAGAGCTCAGGGAGGCCAGTGAGTACAGACTACAGGGAGTATCTACTCTAAATAATCAGACAGACACGTTGGGAGCCCTTTCCAAGCCAGGAAGGGAAGAATTCCACTGTCACGTGTCTTCAGAATCAGACCTGGATGGCAAAGATAGTGCAGGAGCAAAGTGCAAGTGTATTCATTTTAAAACTGGAAACAAAGTTGTGTTGCTCTCTCTGCGGACAACACAGCAAGGTGGTTAGGAATGTGATCTGGGGTCAGCCACCTGAGTTCAGATCCCAAACTGTGAGATCTTGGTCCAATTACTCAACCTCTGCCAGCCTTGGTTTACCCATCCGTAAAATGGGGATGACCCTAGTACCTCCTTGATAGGGTCATTGTAAGGATTAAGTCACACAGGAAATGCAAAGTTCTTAGCCCAACACCTGGCATGCAGGAAGTGCGCGCGTGTGCATGCGCGCACACACACACACAAAAATAGCCATGGTCCTGTCTCTGTTACTGACGAAATGGCTGCTTAAGGAATAAGGGCTGTCATTGACCCTTATCTCGTATGTTCTGGGTCCTGTG